ACGACGAAGGGTAGTTTCGTAATAAAGTTCTTTTTTATAGGCATTTTGGTACCTTTCATTTCTCCATTCTCGGCAACACGTGTTTACCATAGTTGGCTTGAAACTCAAAAGGAAGAATACCGAGAACGGGCTTTCATACCCATTTTCTTTTTTATACACCGTTTCTATCATACCCCGCATTTTAGGGGTCATGCCATCCATGAGTACTGCGCGCTGCAGGCGGCAGGACGAGTGTCAGTCGCGTAGCCGACGTGTGCTGACGATGCGTTGTGAAGGATCATCAGGCAGAGGGGCTTTGCATGAGGCAACAACCATCAAGATATGTTGTGTTGCATGTCCTAAGAGTGCCAAGAGAGTTTAGCGAGGACTTGGGATGAGACCAAGGATCTAGCCTGCGGGTGACGGCCACGTACGTGCATGAATGTCACGACCGTACATTTCCGAGACAAAAGGGGAATCTAGGGATTTAGATAGTAGGCCTTGTTCCTAGTATGCTATTTATATGCTGACCAAGTTTAGCGTCATTTGGAGTTCGTTTGCCTATGAGCTTGACTTCATCAAGGGCAGTGGCATTGTCGTAATTTGCTGAAGTGTCCGAAGGATATAACTATTTCCACGAGTATGGGAATGGGCTGAAACTTCATGGAAGTGTGAAGGAAGTCAAGAGAAAGATTTAGGAACAAACGACGCCTTATTCGGAGTTCGGATGAGTGAGAAAGGGTCATTATGATTCTCTGGCCAAAACATGTCTACTAGGGGATCATGAGTTTTTTTTATTTTAAGCATATATAAGGGGGCAGAGGTGTTTGAAGCTCAGCCAGCCTCCCTTGTGCGTGCTGCCACCAAGCCGCACCAAGTGAGCTACCTTGAGGGGGAACCTCAAGGGCCTGCTTGGGCATCTCGAAGGAGTGTCATAGGTATCCATATGAGCTTGGGAACTTTATGGATGGCACGACGCCTCAGGGCTAGCTTTGGGAACAAAACGGTCACCGGAGGCTTGACGTGTGGAACAATTATCCCCTGGGACTACCAAAATGGTGGATAAAGACCTCCGTGCTGATTGGATACTTGAAGCACCTATCTTAGGGGCCTCATGTGTCGACTTGTGAGCTTGGCTTGGGTTCAGCTAGGCAAGCAAGGGTCAGTTGGCCTAGACGTGCAATTGTGGGGCGACACTGCACTATGCGGGACGGAAGTATGTCGCGAGGGCTATGTTTGGCTATGCCATAAGGCAATGATGGGCATGCTATAAAAGACGCACATGGCAAAGGCCAAGGACTAAAGGTTTCCCTAATTGGGCGAAGCACAAGCTGGGTGCGGACGCATGAGGCGAGTGTCAAGCTTGAGGATTGGACTGTGCACGCGAGAGCGATGCTCAGTGGTAGGCGAGGGACTGATATGTCCTTAGCCAACCTGGGGTGTGCGCATGGATGAGATCCAGCAGATGAGAAATGCCACAACTGGTCAAGGCTACGAGCCTAGACATCAGACATGCGGTACAGTTGGAGCGAGCCTCCTAGGCAAACTTCACCACAGGCACATGATCATGCTAGAAAACCTGCGAAAGAAGCATGTAGTGTGGGGTGACTACAGGCGTCGCACGGGCTATTTGGTGTCTCTAGCATCCGGAAAAATGTCGGCCCGTGACACGTGGTATCAAAGCTTATTTTTGCCATGATACGTTATTTCAGAGTAGAAGTTAAGATGGCGAGTGCATTGGATGTCAGTGCGGAGATCATATCGAAGCAGAGATTGATGTTCATATGCCATCAAAGGGATGTCTTCCATGCAGCGGGCGTTGTTTGTAGAGGGATACTATTAAGGCACGTTTGGCTTGAGAAAGAGCCATTGTGCGACACTGGTGGGATAGTTCCACAAGAAGGGACAAACGATTAGCAGAAGCTCAATTGTTCTTGATTGTGATGATCCGACAGTGTGTCAAAAACTCTGTTAGCAGTTGGTTAGCAGCTTTGCTAAGCAAGGGATGGACGTAAAGAATGTCGAGTGCAGACTGAGAGTGTTCCTTGTGCGGGTTGAATACCGTTTGAACTAAGAGAGTTCAATTGCATGGGAAGCTTGTCAGGTTGAGACATTTTGTTCATGTTAAGCACCAGGTTGGAGCTGTTGGCCGTTTTGAAGAAGGAACTGGACAACCTCAGTTTCTTTCGAAAGTCTGGGCTTCAGTTGAAGGTGATGATATACCGATGAGTCGGGTGGTCAGGAAAAGGCCATGTTTTCCAGGTTGTGCAACCATATTGCAAAGAGTGAGCCGTGGACTATAAACATTGGGCATGATCGTGTAGTGATCTTTCCGAGGATGCGAGCAGCGCATCAGTTGAGTATCTTTCCCGTGGGATAGACTTGTGGACTGCCTGAGGGCATTGAAAAGGGATCTTCTAGAGAGTTGTCATTATGATAGATGCTAGCAGTGTAGAGGTCACTTAGCCATCTAAAGGGTTGTGATGAATGGTAGGAGAGTCACTTAACAACCGTGAAGAAGGACATGTGTGTAGGCTTCTTAGCGGGAATGTGTGAATGTCACAATGGGGTGGAGTCAGCCAGCAAGATTGTGTAAAAGAGCCGAACCGTGTGATGGGGAGGCATGGCGCTGAATTGCTAAGGTGAGGAGCCGAATTCGAAGGAAATAGCGAAGCTTTAGAATTGAGCGGGATTCCAAGTTGGAAGGTGTCATTCTAGAAAGGGGTATACCGAATGATCGGGGACCATTGAGATGGGGCCATATGCGAGGCATACCGAACCAGGAAGTCGTGCTAGCAGTACTAGGAAGGTTCTTGTCTATAGGGCATGTACAAGGTACTACCGGGAGCATTGGGTACTTGCTGAGGAAGTGACAGTTGGAAAACAAAGAGCTTTGTTCTTGAATGTGGCGATGCTATAACTTTGAGAATGTAGTACTCACCAAGAGTACGTCCCAAAGAGCTTGCTGAGTGCCAAAGGGTACGAAGTAGTGGAGTTGCCAAAGGTGTCATGTTGCAACATTAATTTCCAGAGGCCGAGCTAATATGCCAAGTGGGACAGGTACATTGAGAAGTATCCTCCACATTGAGTGTGGGAGGGTCCGCCTGTGCAGAGGTGTTGGTGCAGAATTGTAAGTCTAGAAGCGAGAGAGTCTTCCAAGGTAACCAGGGCAAGAAAAGGGCTACGCGAGCTATTGAGCTGCGTGAGCTAACCCTAAATGCGCGAAAGGGCTTCATGGGATGTTGAGCCACCAGAGCATAAAGGGGCTACGCGAGTTGTTGAACTGCGGGAGCGGCGCCAGAAAGAGCACACTGATGTGCTTTACCAGTGTGGGAAGAGCTTCGAACGATGTCAAGGCCGTGAGGGTCATGGCGTGGTTGACTAGTGTGTGTCACCAAATAGTTAGTCATCAGAGGGTGCAAGTGCGGAGGCACATTCCGAGCGAACACCGATAGGAGGTGCAGTGCAGAGGCACGCTTGGAAGATACTTGAGGGAGAAGTGTGAGGGGCACGACTCCATGTTGAGAATGGACTTTGAGGAAGTCCGATCCACAAGGACTAAGGGAGCCGGTGTACATCCCTGAGGGGGCAGACTCCGAGTTGTCGTGGGCATTGTTGTGTCAACGGGGACGATGACATGTTGAGTGTGGGAGGATTTCACACCCTGCATTTTGGGAGTCATGCCATCCATGAGTACTGCATGTTGCAAAGCGGCAGGACGAGTGTCAATCACGTAGGCGACGTGTGCTGACGATGCGTTGTGAAGGAGCATCAGGTAGAGGGGCTTTGCATGAGGCAACAACCATCAATATATGGTGTGTTGCATGTCCTAAAAGTTCCAATAGAGTTTAGTGAGGACCTGGGATGAGACCAAGGGTCTAGCCTGCGGGTGACGGCCACGTACGTGCCTAAATGTCACGACGGTAGGTTTCCGTTCTAAAAGGGGAATCTAGATATTTCGGTAGTAGGTCTTGTTCCTAGTATGCTCTTATATATGCTGACCAAGTTTGGCGTCATTTGGAGTTCGTTTGCCTATGAGCTTGACTTCACCAAAGGCAGTGGCATTGTCGTAATTTGCTGAAGTGTCCGAAGGCTATAACTATTTCCACGAGTATGGGAATGGGATGAAACTTCATGAAAGTATGAAGGAAGTCAAGATAAAGCTTTAGGAACAGACGACGCCTTATTTGGAGTTCGGATGAGTGAGAGGGTCATTATGATTCTCTGGCCAAAATATGTCTACTAGGGGATCATGGGCATTTTTATTTTAAGCATATATAAGGGGGGCAGAGGTGTTTGAAGCTTAGTTAGCCTCCCTCGTGCGTGCTGCCACCAAGCCGCACCAAGTGAGCTACCTTGAGGAGGAACCTCAAGGGCCTGCCTGGGCATCTCAAAGGAGTGTCATAGGTATCCATATGAGCTTGGGAACTCTATGGATGGCGCGACGCCACAGGCTAGCGTTGGGCACAAAAAGGGCACCGGAGGCTTGACGTGTGGGACGATTATGCCCTGTGGGCTACCGAAATGGTGGATAAAGACCTCTGTGCCGATTGGATACTTGAAGCACCTATCTTAGGGGCCTTATGTGTCGACTTGTGAGCTTGGCTTGGATTCAGCTAGGCAAGCAAGGGTCCATTGGCCTAGACGTGCAATTGTGGGGCGACACTGCACTATGCGGGACGGAAGTATGTCGCGAGGGTTATGTTTGGCTATGCCATAAGGAAATGATGGGCATGCTATGAAAGACGCATATGACAAAGGCCAAGGACTAAAGGTTGCCCTACTTGGGCGAAGCACAAGCTGGGTGCGGATGCACAAGGCAAGTGTCAAGCTTGAGGATTGGACTGTGCACGCGAGAGCGATGCTCAATGCTAGGCGAGGGACTGACATGTCCTTAGCCAACCCCGGGTGTACGCATGGATGAGATCCAGCGGATGAGAAGTGCCACAGCTGGTCAAGGCTACGAGCCTAGACATCAGACAGGCAACATAGTTAGAGTGAGCCTCCTAGGCAAGCTTCACCACAGGCACAAGATTGTGCTAGAAAACCTGGGAAAGAGAAAAGGTTGGCCTGTAGTGTGGGGTGACTACAGGCGCCACACGGGCTATTTGGTGCCGCTAGCGTCCGGAAAAATGTTGCCCGTGACAGTTTCCTTTCATTGTTTCTTTCTCCTTCTCTTTCTCTATTGCATCCCTCTATTTTTCTTTTTCCTGAATCTATCACATGTCAAGAGCTTTTTCCTTAGAGGTAATCTTTCAAAGTATGAGCCTTTTATTTTGGTCAGTTTTTTCTGTAATATTTTCTTGATTATTTTACTTTCTTTATTGGTAATCACCATTTGTACTTTTGGGTTGTTTTGGGGTTGTTTCTTATTTGATTTTCTACATGTATGTCACTAATTTCTCTGTTTTGCTCGTGCATGTTGGGAAATTTAAACCCAGGTACAAGTGATCTATTCTTGGGATAGATATATAAAAGCTGCTAAAATCGATGAAGCTTTCGTTTGACCTAAATTTCTCTTTCTTAAAATTAAAACTCCCCCTTTTCACTTCCTTTTTGTTTTTTTATTTCGTGACAAATTTTCATCGCTTTTATCCTTATAGTTTCACTCTCTGATTGGTTTTCCCCCTTTTGAGCATTACTCACAAACGCTATATTTATACAAAATATATACCTATAGGTATTGAGTGCCCATCCAATTCTTTAGATTCAGTGGTATCTGCTTAGTTTTTTAAAGCAATTAAAGTCATCCAGTAATTGTTGTGCATTATTTTGTTCTATTTGATTCTATTAAGATAATAGTGGTAGCAAGTATACTCATCTCCAGTTTCCGCCTTGGTTTCTCGAGGATTCCTCAAAATGGAGTTTTTTGGTGGGATCGGAAGGAAAAAAGTATAGTGTGAATAAACATTTCTACTTCCAAATAATTTAGAGGGATTATTTTTCCTTAGAAACATTACAAAGTTATGGTTTTACTTTATCTTACCTTCTCCAAAATAAAAAAATAAAAAAATAAGCAATAACTAAACAATCAGATAACATTATTGAATTGATACTGTAACAATTAGATTCTGAGGGACTCGAGAAATACAATGATTTTAATGCGTAAATAAAAGTTTACGAGACTTTTGATGTAAAAGGGCGCCCACAACTAGGATAGTGAGTCGACTAGCTAGAAAATTAATCTTTTTTCTTTCTGTTTCCACCAGTTTCTAAGTTGTCAATATTAGGATGTGCCTTTTCTGTTTTGTAGGTATTTAGTTCACAAGAGCAACATCTGCACTCAATGTGATGTCTGAAAACATTGACAAGAAGCTATATTTTTTTGCAGCCAGATATGTGCTATCAATTGTAATTTTCACTTTGCAATGGTTATGGATTTGCTGGTGAGGTAAAATAGTCTTTCTTATTGTTTCTTGTACTGCATTTTTAAGCCATGATTTTTTTTTTCCTATGATACTTCTTAGATTTGCAGCTTCAAGATATGCTATTATCTTTTTTTGAGAAATCTATTGAGCAGTGAGCAGTATCCCTTTACCGACAATCCTTCATTGTGGATCTTGTACAACTCCGTGATAGATGCTTCTAATTTTTAGCATTATAAATTTCAAAAAATGTCCTTTATCATAGTAAAGAATCTTCTATCTGAAGGTTTTCTGGTTGTCTCCTTTACCAATTAGAGAAATCTGCAGAGGGTGAGTCCTTCCCTGAGTTATATGCATTTATATTGTAACTGGAGTCAGCACTTTTAATTATTTGTAGTTTGAAATGGCACCTCCAAAAGATGCATGTTTTCTAAGTTTACTGCTAAATCGTTTACATTACTTTGTAAGTCCTCTTAACAAATAATTTTGATGCTAATACTTAAAAATACAGTACATAAAAGGTATTATCGTGCAGCCCATGAACTTAATGAAGTTATGTCTTCACAACATAAGCTTTCTGGTTAACTATAAATAGTTGCACATTCAATGTAAAACAAGATAGTTTCACACTATTCAATCATCAACTGTTCAATCCAAAGATATCAAATCTTGCTCCTAATAAAAATAATTGAAATTCATTCTATACTGTGCAACAGATAGAACTTGTTGAATGTGGTTTTCTGTGGTTACATACTTTTGGCTTATTGTGGTAAAGTTTTACTGGGGGTCACTAATAATTTTTTAACAATTATTAATCATTTGCTATTGTCCGTATATTATTTTTGATAACTAGCTAGATCATTAATCTGGTATATTTTTCAAGTACAGATTATTCAGTAGAGGAAGGAGAGCTCATATTTCTCAAGGATAACACAGAAATCATGCAAAATCCCCGGCTCTGCTGATTGCGAGATGGTAAATTCTCCTATTTTGTTCATCTTTATCAATAATGTGATTTGTAATCAGTTTGGTGTTCTTGAAGTTGGGGTCGCTCTGAAATAGTTCTTTAACTTGCAAGAGTTGCTCTCTCCAATGATGCAGCTTAGCTAGGAGTTGAATTCTTCTTTCTGGCTAAGGAAGAATACTCTTTGAGTTCCATGATTTTTTGCTTATTTTTGACATGCATTTTTCTTTGCAAGTTAGGCAGTAATTGGCCAATGTGATATGCTTGATGTCCTGGGAAAACAAAAGAAGGAAGGTTTGTTTGCATGTAATTTCCTCTGTCACTCCACTGTAACATTGATCTGAGTATTTAGCCTAGTTATTTTTTTTTAAGTATGTGACTTCTTTTTTGTATTATGGTGTTTTCTCCTTAGATAATTAGTTTAACTGTGTTTCATGGAGTTTTCCTACTGTGTTTTGCATTATTTAGATAATAGCATAGGAAGCCAGTCAAAATCTACGCAGCTGGTGTGCTTGTGAGCTATATTTCTCTTCCTTTGGTTAGAGCAGCAAAATAGTCTGGAGTGTCATAACAGTGCGTGAAAAGATCTTCTCATAAATGAGCAGATGTGTGCGATGAGTATTAGCTCTTACTCTTGAATCATTGTGTTACGAGTAGAGACATCATTGTTCTTTCAACTACCAGAAATGCATAGACTAACACTTATTTTTAGGAATTTCTTTCTATTAATGTTCAAGGGGTAGGCTGCCACTAATGCTTGCATTACGATAGACTGTCTGCATCACACCCCTTGGGGTGCAACCTTTTGCTGGAGCCTGCGTGAATGCGGGATTCTATGTGCACTGGGTTCCCTTTTTTTAAGGGGTAATGTATTTAGCCTTCTGGATAGAAGTTCAACTGGAATCTTTTAGATGGTTTTTATTTTGTTATAGATTATTTGTGGCTTACTTTTTCCTTTTGCTTCCATTCTTCTCTTTCTTTTTTTTTCTGTTTTGTATGATGATTCTGTGTACTTCCACACCACATTAATTTACTGCATTAAAAAATGGATGAGACTTCAATTGTTCCCCTCGTAGAAGCTTTCGATTTGGTATACATCAGTAAAGTTTATCCTCATACATCTTTCTTGGTTTATAGTCGGTTTTTTATTTTACAGATTTCTCTCTATGCCCATAATTGCTTCGCTTTTGTTCGTATTACTCTTATGTATGCAGTTCATTCCAGATCTTTAACTTGTGAAATATACCCAAGGATCAGTTTCCTCCAAATGCATTACTTCTCGAATCCCTACCCAGCTTAAGGCGTTGAAGGGGGTGCCTACTTGAGATTTGCTGATTTTAGTTCTAATGCATGTTCATATGGGCATGCATGTGTATAGTTGGGTGTTCATATTACATATGAATGCATGTATTTTTGGATGTATTTTGTATAGAGAAGTGGTGGATTGAGTGATTAGAGAGTTGCAAATGATGTGATTGCAAATAGATTATTACATGCATTAGAGTGTATGATAACGTTGCAGTTGATGATGGATCAAGAAAAGGCAGGAATGTATTGAACTTGATTACGGTTTTACCAAGCAAATTATAGTATCAGATTATGCTTTGTTATCATTTTCACTTTGTATTTTCTAGAGCTTTGTTCTCCAAAATGTATGTAAATACTATGAAACTTTAATTTCTCGAACAAAAAATATTTTGAATTGTAGCAATATTGTAGCTGCGCAACTAACAAAAAATTATATCGGGCATGCGCCCGTGCTATCCCATTTAGTATTATACAATGCTAATGTTACTATTCCCTGTAATACTACGTCTTTTGCCATGCAACAATAGACTAGAACTCAATCAACGTTATTAACCGCTGAAATAAATACTCATCACCTTTTTTTATGACGCTATTTGATAAAGCTAAGTGAATCCACGTCCAGTTACTTTAATTAGGTTACAATAACAACGACCCAATGTAATCCCATAATTGGGGACTTTAATTAGGTTGAACTATATTTATTTTGTAGAAGCTGTCTAGTGAATTTAAGACATAAACAAAATGAATTTTTATATTCTTATTCACTATATAAAACTATATTACCATTTCTATTCAAGTTTTATTATAATTATATTTTATATACACAATTACCATTTATGTACATTTTAAGGGAATTAATGATAATAATTAGTATCCTAAAATTACTCTTAAC